GTCTTCTAGAGTCCTAGAGTGAGCTCACCCCCGTGTCTTCCCATTCACAGTCCACATGCTAAGTCCTCTAGAGTCCTAGAGTGAGCTCACCCCCGTGTCTTCCCATTCACAGTCCACATGCTAAGTCCTCTAGAGTCCTATAGAGTGGAGATCCAGCGAGTATGGAAAGAGGAACAAAACCAAATAAAACTAAACAAACCCGTTCACACCAGAGCTCTCAAGTAGCCAGTTTTGTGTGAACTAGTAAAGAATGTGTCTAGTTCAGACCTAGAGGAGGTTTGCTGTGGAACTGCGTGGATTTTAGGCTTACCTTGATAGAGTCTTCTGGCTTTTCCAAAAACTTAAAAACCATCGCTTAGTAGCTAGACTCTAAGCAGACTGGAGAAACAAAGATCTGGAGAGTATACTGGACTTGGCGAGCTTGGGGATGGGCCCATTGTTTCTGCTACTCACCACCTGTGCAGCCATGGGTCAGGAAAGCACATGCTGTGTATGCAAACCGGAGACAACGTAGGACAACATCACGGGGTTAGTCACTTGAGGAAATTTATGTGGAACTTTTTTTTCAGTTTTTGAGACAAGGTCTCACAATGTCAACTTGGCTGTTTTGGAACTCTGTGTAGACCTGGATGGCCTCAGCCTCTCAGAAATCTGCCTGCCTTTGTTTCCTTAGTGCTGAATTAAAGGCAAGCATCACACCCCAGCCTATACGAACTTACTGTAATCTACATGTATGTTGGGACTTTATGACCATCTTGGCTACTTTTCTAATTGCTATGTAGAGACACCATGACCAAGGAAACAGAGAGAAGAAAGAGTGTTGGAGGTTACAGTTCTAGAGGGTAAATCCATTACCATCATGGGAGGGAGGGAGCATGGCGGCAGGCAGGCAGGCCATCGGAACGTAGCTGGGAGCTCACGTCTGATCCACAAGCACACGGCATAGAGACAGATGTAACTAGAATGCCTTGGGCTTTTGAAGCCCACCCAATGTCACACTCCTTCCAACAAGCCACACCTCATCATCTTTCCCAAACAGTTCTACCAACTGAGGACCAAGCATTCAAATCTGTGAGCCTATAGAGCTGTTGTCATTTAAACCACAATGACCGGTCACATATCATTGTATGTGACTGGAGACTGGTAATTGAGAGTAAAGTTATAACAACTGAAACCCAAGCTTGGGGCACTCATGTCACAGATGAATACTTTTAGGATATACAGAAAATTTTACGACTGCAGATTTCAACTTGTCTGGTTTATGGACAAGAAAGTTAGAAGCCATATTATTATAAAGTTTCTTGATGGCATTTGAATGTTAGGATGAGCCTATGCACCAAATGTTCTGCCCTTCTACCATGCCATTGCTTCATATTGCTTCTGTCTACAGATCACTACAGGAGCCTGGCTGTATCTTTTATCACAGATGCAGCCTGTGTGGGCTTCAGTTGTATTGTTCCTGTAGCTTCCTTGGCAGCCACGTCTGTCTGTATTTCACCCTGGAATCTGGCTGCAGTTAGAAGACAGGCACAACCATTTATCAGAGTTGGCTCCCTACCTGAGTGAGGAATGACAGTTTTTAGATGAGAAAAAAAAATGGGATAAATTAAAATTGCAGTCTGTTACTACAGAAAGCTGGTTAAGCATGCTGAAAACTCTTTCCTTTAACACTCCCATGGATATGCACATTTTCCTGCAATTGGTTAGGGTTTTGGAGATTCCAATTCTGAGGTAACTATAAATAAGACTGTGGGTAAGACTGTGGAGCCTTTTGTTTTATTCAGGTACGACTAAGCTCCCTTAAATTTGCTTCTTCAGAACACCTTCATTTTTCTCCTGACCAAGCATGTGCCTCTTCTTAGCTAAGGCTGATGGCTCAACCTTAAGCTATTCATTCACATGTACCAACTCAGGACTAGCTGAAACGTGAGCACAGACATCAGGCTTGACTGGGCCCTACTCAGAATCTCTTCTCCTGACACATGAAGTGTCTCCATTACCTCTTCTCTGTTTATTTGGGTAACCGGCTTTTGCTGGTTTGGACCCATTGGTCTAATCCGCCCCTGGCATACTGTCTCCTTTAAGTCCCTTTTGTAGCATTTCATGCTGTCTCTCTCCATTCCTCCCTTGTGCGGCTCCTTTCTTTATTGTATTTTCATTCCCTGGTGACTTGTCTCTTCAGTTATGGCTATCTTGGGGCTAAGTTCTAGCACCTCTGGTCATCCACTGTTTTCTTTCCCGAGGCCACACCTTCCCCAGATCCCTGCTTAGCTTCTTGCCCTATTCCTCCCTTCCTGGATGTAACGCCACTAAATCTACACTTGCACCTGTGCTCCAGAGTCAGTCTCCGGCTTTGACTTCTACTTCTTCATTCCTGACCACTATGGCCATGTCACCTGGTGTTGCAGATGACAGAGAGTTGGCCTGTCAGAAGAGGATGCTCATCATTCCTCCTTCATACCCCCCAGCCAGCTCTAAAACAATCATTTTTACTATCCTTAGAATGTCTTGCATTCGATTAGCAACCGAAGTTCTGCAGGTGAACTCTTACATCAGTCATTCCTTTCTAATCCCATTGCCACACCCTAACGGGCCCTTTGACCTAGACAGTTGTCTTGTTGCATTCAGTCTCTCCTATCTGCCAGGTTAATCACTGCTAGAGCCCAGTGCAGACCATGTTCTCTGGCTCAAAACTTTCTAAGCCCCCACTTGATTCTAGCTTGTTTTCATGCTTCTCTCCCAAGCCGACAGTTCTTTGTGCTGCAGCTAGCCAGTCACATTGCCTGTCCTAGTCCTTTGGCAGTTACATGAGGAAGCTTTACCTTCTCTCCAACACACTGGTTGTCTGCGTTTCAGGAACCAGTCCAGATGCCAGCGATTCCTAGGGTTCTTCCCTCTGACCCTTCCTAACTAGATGTGGCCTCCTTGTTCTCTGAACTCTTCATGTTTTCTTAGTATTTGACTATTTGCCTGTAATTTGTCCCATACCCTTTGTCTAAGAACTCTCCAGTTTTCTTTGAATCCTCTAAAACAGCAGTGTGTGCAGTAAATGCAGTTCAAACTGGCTGTACTCTACTTTTTCCCGGCTACTGAGTTAGGTCAGATGGGTCTTCAGAGTTGTCTCCTGTTTTTACTTGGCCCCATACCACCAAATGGATGTTTCTGTGGGTTGCTAAATCCTTCTTCAGCCCCATGCATTCACTCTGTGGTTTTTCAGTCTATGCTTTTAAGGTTTGAGTGTGGCTACACTAGTCCTCATCTTTTTATTCCACTGTATGGAATCTGGCTACTTAGAAAGCTTGTTTAATATATGTCCCCACACTAACAAGAGCTGAAAAGGATGATAACTGAGTGGCTTAAACAAAACAAAACAAAACCATTGTTGGATGGCAGAACACTTTGCAATCTTGGATTCTGAGCTGTAGCTGGACACACAAAGACTCACCCCATCACTGGCTATTTAACAGTGAAGTGGGGTCTGTTAAAAAGATCCCCTTTGAAATAATTTCCCATTATACTTTGTAGTCTTGTTGCGACGGGAGACAGTGTAAGGAGTGGTGAGCTTGGAACAGTATGGGTACTTTCACGTCCAACTTTAGTGGTTTTGTAGTGATAGGTATTATTTCTCAATATTAACAGCCAAGGTTGAGAGTCCAGGGTTTCTTATTAAGACCAGGTAATGAGGACGCTTGCTTGACTGTCTTCAAAGTTAGGTTTTGAGAATCCTAGACTTAAATGTGTCTTCTAAGACCTACCTTTTCACGGTCTTGCTAGCGTCAGTTCCTATTGGCAGAGACAGGAGGGCTTTAGAATATGTTCTACGTCTTGGATGTAAAAATGTCTTTTGGTTGGGCCTGCCTTGGGAGCCAAAAATTGACAGTGTAGGTACACCTTAAGATGCAGCTGTGTGGCAAACAGGAGCTGAGATTGTTGAGGGATGAACAGCTAACAGGCTTTGTTGTCATCTCTGGCCCTGGCCTGGCCCCCTCCTCGGTGCATACTCCTTGCAGAATAGAGCTGGTGATCTGGAACTTGTTATGTACAGACCATGTTAGCCATACGGATTCGTCTTCCTGTCTCCACAGACCTGAGCATTACCGCACTGAAATTACCTTCTGTAGTGATAGCTGCAGGGTTCCAAGCTGGAAGTGCCAAGTTTATTACGGAGCTGCCAGTTGTAGTGAGGGGAAAAAGTAGGAAGAGTTTAGGAGTCAATTATTTCCCACGGATATATTTTTATCACGTTATTTTCTACATAGGATTTCTTTTGGTAGAAGTAGGTGAGAGAAGCAACTAGAGAGGACCAAAACTTGAGAGGCGTCAGTAAACAAATCAAAGTTTCGGAGGTGATTGCTGTTCTCTTCCACAGGAATGTAAAGTTCTCAAGACATCCTGTGGTAGTGTTTACCTGTGTACCTTCCTCCCACAATGCTTTGCACCACGGTACTCTGATAAATCTTACTTTCACGGAGTTACTAACCGGGTGCATCACCCCAGAAATGTAGTAATGGCAGAATGTCTACTGAGAAGGTTCTCCAGAGGGCCTCGTTCTCATTTCTGGGGGCTGTGCCCTGCAGGGTGCCTAGACTGACTTTTGTTTGACTTACGGTGGCGCCGGGTTGGGCTGTGCTTGCGGTTGGCGCCCGCGCAGTGGCTGCCTGTGCCCAGGTGCTCGGCGGCTTGGTCTGCGGGGCTCTCGCTCGCCTCTGAGCCCTGCACCCCTTTTTCGGGTGATAGTAATCGGAGACTTTTCTGTTAGGCGGGGCCTAACAGAACTGAACGTTGTAATTCCAGCAGCTTTGTGAGGCCTGACCGCGCGGGTTGGGGTCTGTAAGGTTGGCCTGCGTGCGCCCTTCCGCGTGGTTCGGCCTGTGTTTCCTTCACAATGCTGTTATGCTAATCAGGTGACATCACCGCGCAGCTCACCGCAGCTCCCGATTAAATTACAAACCGGCAGCGGGCGGGCGGGCGGGAGGGAGGGAGGTGTGCGCTGCTCCGCGAGCAGGAGCGCAGCGTGCTTAGGGTTGGCCATATTTAAAATATTTTCCAGTAGGATCCTGCCTCCTTCCTCCTTTCCCTCCTCCCTCTCGGGTAATTTATTTCTAGCTTCCAGGCAAGGGCCACACAAGGAAGGAAATCCACAGGGGATTAGATGCCGGAGTGGTAACTCCACCAGGCTAAGGTGGACTCTGCAGCCAACTTCCTATCAGATCACCCTGCACCTATTTCCGACCGACCGGAATGCGACTGGCTTGAGGTCCGGCCCTTTCGCCTGGGCGGGAGCCGCGGAAGCTGCCTGGAGTTGGATGGGGGTAGGAGGGGGCTGGAGCAGGATTCCTACGGTGTAGCCTAGCCGGCCTGGGCCTTAGGTCGGGCATTATGGAGTTGCAGAGGACATCCAGCATTTCAGGGCCGCTGTCGCCGGCCTACACCGGGCAGGTGCCTTACAACTACAACCAACTGGAAGGGAGATTCAAACAGCTCCAAGGTAAGTCCGCTGCGAAGGGCCAGGCCTGTTTGCAGGTGTTCCGACAGGATCCTGGTGCTTTTTGAAGCTTTATTTCTGCCATACGGTACACGACCCTAGTGAAGATAGCAGCCACACGGCCCCAGGTTGACAGTGAGCACCTAATTGAGACATTAAAGGAGGCAGTTGCTCACACTACTCTAGGCTCTAGATTAGCCACCATTTGGAATCTCTCCAGTATCTTTTGGTTCTAGGCTCTAGTTGTCAGGCATCCTACTTCTGTTGTACACACGCACAGAAACACACCATTCGGGATTTTAGGAGATTAATGTTAATAGATCCATCAGTATGCTTTCAGTTTCAGCCCGCCTCTCTACCTCCCAGCCCCCAGCCTCTTACCTCTGGGAGCACTTAAAGGTGTAAAGTACACTGCTCCAGACCCAGCCCAATAGAACAATAGCAAAGGGGAGGAGGAAGTGGTCTTTTTGTTCCTGAGTCTTTGGTAAATTAGTGTTAGTTCCTAAGCCTAATTTTAACTTGTTGTATTACAGCTTTCCCATTAATTTGATGGGCTATGTAATTTATAATAAAAGCTACTTATTGTCAATCCAGGGCTGTGGGTGGGATTAGTTGGATCAATTACCGGCATTTTCTAGAGTCTATGCCAGGCTCAAAGACTGAATGCATCCAGTATTTTGCTGCACATGTTTTTCTGGAGAGCAGGTTCCTGGAGTAGTGTGCTGTTTCTGCTTGTAGCCCTGGGCTGTCTCTGACCAGTCAGCAGGCCTTGGTTAGGGACTCAGCCTATCCATGAGTAAAAAATAAAGGTCTGTAGCTGAAAATAGAGCTTGCACTTAGAAGCCTGTAAAATCTGGTAGTAGGTAGGAGTAGCTCTAGTACTGTAAAGAATATCCAAAGACTTGTACGTCTCTTTAACTCCGACCTAAATGAGGATGTACGGAAGGAAGCAGCTTGGTCCTAGTATGCTTTTATTGGAAGGTGGTGATACCTTTCATTCATTGATTTACTTGTCTTGTGAAGTATTTTGACAGCATTGGCTTGTTTTGGAAAGTGAGGCAGAACAGGATGTGATTTTTAAACATTTGCTAGCCTTTGCTGCATTCTTTCAGCAGCTGGCTGCGAGGTGGGTCGTTAGCGCTAGATCACTGAGTCTTCAGTTGCATCTGAATCATTGAAGGTGGAATTTGCTTTCTTGAAAATTTAGGTGACTGAGCTTGTAAGTAGTGAAGTAGAAAATATATCATGGTCTAGGTCTTTGCGGAGCCCTACACTTCTAGAATCAGAACTCAGAATGTCCCCTTTCCCCTTGGCCTGGGCTCTCTAAGGAGAAGCACTTAGAGGATTCAGTCAGAAAACTCATCATTTTCTGTTTCTAGCCTGTCCGTGCTGTGTAGTTTCAGTAAAAACCATTAAACAATAGAAAGTATAAAAAGGATGTGTATGGAATGCACTGTCAGACCCACCCATGACAAAAGGCTGTTATTCTAAAAGGGTTAAATGTGGTTGTAAAGTGTTCACTGTGAAGGGTGGAGCTTATACACAGGAAATGTCTTAACTGTCCTCTCTGGACAAGGAAATGTTTTTTTAAAAAAATCACACAGATGCCCTTGGTACTTTAGTTCTTGTGCTTTTTCTTCAAGAAAATCTCATTAAAAAGTGGTGGGGATTAAGTTGGGTAGTAAATATACCAAATTTTTAGAAGTAAATTTTGTCCCTTGCTTTAGCTCCAGATAATGTTCTTATTTTTAAATATTGTGGTTTTGAGTTGCATAAGTTTACTGTTGGTATTTCTATAACAGAAAACCACCTGTGTTGAGGAACTGAAAAAGGGTGAATTAACTTTCAGATGGGGTGGATCATGTTAGGGTCACTAACTTCCGACAGTGTCCTGGTGATTAGGAAAATGGATTGAGGTTTAAACAGTGGGAGAGTTTTAATAAAAACCTTTCTCAGCTCCTGATCCCCGGTGCAGTGTTCTGATACTTGTAGTTCTTGTAAATGTTATTTTTGATAACATAAATTCTGTGTGCTGATCTAATGTTTTGCATGCTGGGGAGTCTGCCTTTTTACCCCTGGGCATAATCCTCCTTAGTTTTTGTCACCAGTATATGGGATGTTTTGTTGATTTTTTTTTAATGCCCCCTATATGAATTTATATATTTAGTATATATGTCTGGGAAGGGCTTTCACTTCATGGTAGTGTGTTACTATGCTTTTTGCTGGATGCAGTTGATTGGGGTTTGCTTTCCTAGCATCTAAGCCAAGTCTGATATTAAGAGGAACCTGGTCTGTTTAGATAACATACCATGTGGAGATTTATGGGCCAGTGAGCAAGTGGGAGTGGAAATCTTATTGGCTTCAGGAACCGAGAGATACTGGCTTTTGGTTTGTTTGTTTTAATCACTCCTAGGTTCATGGCGTAAGAGAGGTCAGGTTCTTCAATCTCTGAACTCCGACCTTAGCCACCAGTACATATAGCTTTCTTTCATTTTTCCACCTATCAAATTAAATTATTACTTTCTTCAGGTCAACCACTGTCTCATAAAGTTGGAGTCATTCTGTTGTTGCTTTTTTTTCTTTAAGATAAGGAAAGAAAGTTGAAACAACTGTGTTCAACTTCCTGCTTAGAAAACTATAATTACAGAAGTTCACAATACCTTCCCTGTAGCTTCACATCTGCTTGCTTAGTCCTTGTGGGAGAATCCTCTGCCTTGTTAGTCTCCCACTGTGTTCTCTTGTGCTTACTGTATATGAAAAATTATACACTCTTGAGCTTGGAATTCAGGACTTGTGCAAATGGCCCTATGCTGTGGCCTTCCTCTTCCAACTCCTTCACTGCAGTCAAACCTGTAGACAGGTGGTCCCTCATCTCTAGCCTGGCTTCTTCCACTTCCCTTCCTTTCAGCCCAGAGCACTGATTGGTTGTAGCAATGAGATAGCAAAGACAGAATCCAGAGGAAAAGCATCAAAATAGGTTGTTTTTGTTTGTTTTAATCTTCTTTGCACCTTACTCTGTGGTTAGCATCTTACTGGAAAGTGCTTTCTGCAGCTTCTGGCTGAATGAGTTTGCCCTAGAATAGTGAATTTCAGGCCACAGGAGTTCATTTCCATGCTCATCACATGCTGAGTTTGTGTGAATGTGTGTGTGCGTGTTTTCCCTTGGAGGTGAGAAGAAAGCATCATATCCCCTAAAGGTTACAGATTCTTGTCACCCACCCAGTGTGGTAGTTGGGAACGGTACTCAGTCCTCTGAATGAGTAGCAGCACTGTAACCGTTGGGCTGTCTTTCCAGCCTCTTAACTCTAAAAATTAATTTATTTACTTGTTATATATGTACATGATGTGTGTGGAGGTTAGAGGACAGCTCTTTGAAGTTGGATACCTCCTCCAAACTTTCTGTGGGTCCTGAGCATTGAACTAATAAGTTCACTGGTCTTGCTCAATAAGTTCCTTTACCTATTGAACTATCTAACCAGCTCTTAATTCCCTACCTCCTTTTTCTATTACTGAACTACCATTTTTTGAGACAGGGACTCATATAACCCAAGTTTGTCTCAAACTCACTATGTAATCGAGTCTGGCCTTAAATTCCTCGTTCTTTTCAAAATGTTGTGATTATAGGTGCCCACCACCATGCTTGGCTGTTTTAATTTCTTAGCTCTTGGAGAAAGAATAGTGCTGATTTTATACCCACGAATCATAAAGAACATTTTTTTTTTTTTAATCTTTTCAAGACAAGGTTTCTCTGCATAGCCCTGGGTATTCTGTAACTTTCTCTAGCTCAGGCTGGCCTCAAACTCACAGAGATCTTCCTGCCTCTACCTCCTGAGTGCTTGGATTAAAGGCGAGGGCCACTACCACTCTGGCACAGAAAAACATTTACTCTTAAGCTTTTAGTAAACTTTTGATTTGTTGTGTGACTTAAAATATTTGCTTTATCTCATTTCTTTTGCCTTAGAGAAAGAAAATGTCTAAGTCTACATCTTGCTGGGAAGACAGTCTACACTTAAAGTCTTAAAGACAAATGTTAGTATTTCCCATTATAATGTGAGCAGACATGATGACATAATTTTTAATTTATTTTGTGTATGGATGTTTTACCTGCATGTGTGTGTGCACAGCATATTATGCCTTGTGTCCTCAGACATCAGAAGAGGGCATCAGATCCCCCGGGACTGTGAACTTGGAAATGGTTGTGAGCCATGTGGATTCAGGTAGGAACTGAACCTGGGTCCTCTATAAGAGCAGCAAGTGCTCTTGACCTCTGACCCAACTTTCTAGACCAACATATTTATTTTAATCTTCCATGTATGAGTATTTTTCCTGCTTGTGTGTAAGTGCATGTGGCCCACGTGTATGGAATGCCTGTGGAAGCCAGAGAGACAGTGGAATAAAAAGCCACTGGAACAAAAAGTTACAGTTATTACGAGCCATGTGGGTGCTGGGACCCAAACCCTGATCCTCTACTAAAGCTATAAGGTACTCCAGCAGCAGATGGCTTTCTCTTCCTCCCCTTCTTCCTCTTCCTCTATTTTTGGTAGGAAGGTCAGGAGGAGTAGGATATATGTGAGAACATTTGAGGGATTTTATGAATTGTGCTATATTGTTTTGTTTTTGTTATGTTCCTCAGACAACTTTGTGGGGCAAGTCATCAAATCAAATAAAACCTTTCACCAGTTTCATCTCATGATTAAATCCTAATAACTTTGTGACCCAACCCTGTTTTTAAATGATGTCCTAATTATAATTATTTTCATAGCACTTAACCTTAATGTATATCATCTGGCTTAATAGATTTTTCTTAAAAGTACTCAGCATGAGAGCTAGTATTTAGTAAATTCCAAATAAATGTGCATTTCCTTAGTACCAGTGCTCCTGTGAGGTGGTCACTTGTTTTTTATAAAGACACATGTAATTATCTTTAGATCAGTCATATTAACTGATCTAAATTCAGGCTTTTCGAAACCCAAACTCGACAACCTTCCTGTAGTACCTACCGT